TATTATAATATTTTACCTAAAGTTTTTGATGTCAGATTGTTGGGCCTTAATAAATTTTAAATTTTAAATAAAATTTAAATAAAATTTATTTAAATTTTAATTTTTTAAATAAATAAATAACTATAGGGTCATACTGAGTGGATGTAATTTTTCATCTTCCTTTTTTGCCTTTACTACTTATACTATTTGTATGCATTTATTGTGGTTTGGCCTAAGCACTTAGTACAGACTAGCTAAGTGGATATTATGGATCTGAGGTTGCACGTATTGTCACCTATGTTTATTTTTTTAATGTTTTTATATGTTGTTAGCTGTTCAGAGGTGCTGTGGTATGCTGGGTGGTCATACTTACTGACTAAATGAATAAATAATTAAGCTAAGTGATTTTTAAGACCAATCTGGACAAAATGAAAAAAAAAATTCCCCCACTCAATATCTAAATGAAAAATTAATTTCCTAAAAAAATGGGGAAAATTATCCATATTGCTTAGGCATTTTGCTCATGAAATACTTATCCTGTGGAACAATTAAATCTTACCTTGCCTTATTCATCACACATAATTTTCCCTGTGCTTGGACAATATTTGGTCTAAAAACCCAGTGAAAAGAAATAAGGAAAAGCCTTTACTGTTTTTACAACAGGGTCCTTTGTGCTGAAGCATATTGTTTATTGAGAACCACAGCAGTACATGCAACACTAACTTGAAGTGAGATATTAAAACTGCTGTGTATTGTTAATTATATGTAACACAGATAGGCATTTCCTGGCAAAACAAACATTTTCCATTGCTTTTCTTGTTTGTATGTGGTGTTTTGTTTATTGTTTTTTCATTAGACCACTGAGAAACTTTATTTTGCAATTTTGTCTAAGTGCATGAGAATTTGAACTATATTCACTGAAAGCTGATTGTGGTATTTGCATGGCAGCAATAGGTTTATGTATCAATGAAATTTAATTCCCATTTAATTTTGAACGTATTTGATGTTATATGAATAAATATGGGTTTATGATGATGCTCTGTCAACTATAACTATCTGGTATCATCCTGATTTTCAGAAGGGTCAGTCATACTTTGCCAGTCTGTTTATAGGAAAAATTAAAGGTATTGAATGAAATACAGCATTGAGAGAAAGAAATATGTGAAGCCAGGTTTTATCCCTATAGTACAAAATTGTGGTACATATGAACCACTCAAATTTTATTTATTTATACAATTTATATGGTCTCCCATCTCACTGCAGTGATTCTAGGTGGTATACAAAGTTAAAAACACCAGTTTAAACAACTCAAATCATAAATGCCTGAGGTCATAAAGAGCTATTCCAACTCATAATAAAACAACACTACCTGTCAGAGCTTGTTTAACCTCTGGCCCAAACGCTTAGGGGATTTTTAAAAGCAGATGCTTTGCTTTTCAGGGTATTACATACTTCTGTAGGGACTCTATTAAATGTACAAGTAGTCCCCAGTTTAAGAATGAGTTCCCAAGGTCTGTCGTTAAGTTGAATTTGTATGTAAGCTGGAACAGTATTATTGTATAATACTGTATAATTAGTATTGTGTAATGAACTCAAACCATTGTATATTTAACTCAAATCATTGTGTATTTAACTCAAATTTTGCTACAATAGGCTCCATTCTTGACTATGGGTTGTTCTTAAACCAGATTTCTTAACCCAGGGGACTATGCGGCATCTTGATATTTACATTTTGGATAAAGAAGATAAGAAATAAATAATAATAACAACAATATAAGCAATATATTTTATTCTTGGATATTAATTACCAAATTGGTTAATACAGTTCTCAGTTCTCCAGCACTAACCCATTACATGAATGTATTGTTTTTCCTCCTCCTCCTCCT